ACTCAAGATCTGAGATACCTGAGCTGACTTGATCACAAGTCTGTTATTGCAAAGCAGTTGCATCTTCTAAAGGGAAAATGGGGACTTTTACAATTGGGAGTCAGGGAAGGAACACATTTGGGGTAGGCAGGAGACAGAGGTTATAAATAAAGAGAACAAAGCTCATTGGAGATTTTAAACCCCATTGATGGGATCTCAATGTAATGTTTGAAGGGAGATTAAAAGGGGATTGCAAAAATTAACCACCTATTGTGTGCCAGTCACAGGGCTTTGTGTGCTGACACAAGGCTGCAGTGTGATGATAGAAGTAAAACCTGGCACTTAGGACACACTAAATAAATAGCGGTAATCGTTATTACTTAACGATGGGCCAAATAGGCTCAAGGGGTTAAATAAAGAACTCAACTTTCCTCTGCATTGGAAATCAGATCTGATTCCATCGTACCACTTCGAATCTTATTAATACCATAGACAGGTGACATTCCTGGACCACTGACAGGATGCTCTGTGTCCTACCTATTTGTTAACCTCTTCCCATGCCTCTTTTCTAGTAATAATTGATAATAGAATATTTAGTATGTGATGGTCTTTGGCCTGTCTCCAGGAGTATTCAAGCTAAGTCCTGGAGCAGAAGGTGAGGTGGCCCAAGAAATCCTCAACTTTCTTCACTTCTACAACATATTGAAGCTAATAAACCGAGAAATTAGTTTGTCTTCAGGGTTGTCTGCTCCAGGGCCATCTGCAGCACAGCAGCATCTCTCTGCACTCAACAATGATTGCTTTAGAAGGGACAAGAGTCAGAAGGGAAGTCTGAGGCATTCAGCATTCTGAGCTCCTTCTTTGCAGACACACACACACACACACACACACACACACACACACACACACACACTGAACAGGGCCTGGAAACAGTAAAGAGAGAAGGGTAATGAATCCTCAAGTAAAACCTGATGTGGTCAGGGGACCAGGTGATACAGGAGAAAGCAAGAGACCTCTACCTCTTCTCCAACTGGATTAGTCAGGCTAGGCTAGGCTTTGCTGCCATGACAAGCTAATACCCAACTCCCAGGAGCTTAATACCACAAAGGTATATTTGTTGCTATGCCATCTAGATTATATGTGGTCTCAAAGAACCCCTCAGCAGGGGAAGAGAAAGCATGGAAGTGGTAACTTGGATCTTAAATATGTCACTTGGAAATGACTCACGCCACTTCCACTTACATGGCCTTAATGAGAGTTAGTCATATGATAACAGCACAACTGTAAGTTGACTGGAACTCTTTCCTGTGCCCAAAGAGAGATGGACCAGACACTGGTAAACATGAGACATCTCTAGAACCATATACGTAAATAGGACCTTTTTCTCTTTCTACCTCCTTTTGTGTTTTGCTGAGATCCATGATCCATCCCACTATATGCTGCCTACCAACTAGAAAAATCTCTCCCCATTCCTGCACTTATCCAGCTGTTCCTCTGTTCCTACCCCAGGGAGCTCAGCATTACTGCTCTGCACAGCATGGGTTGTAGACCCAGAGGGTGGAGTGGGGAGGCACCTCCTCTAGGCCTACCAACCCAACTAAGGCTTTAACTGTTTTCCATTTGATCCTCAAAATGACTTCATGAGATAATTATTACCTCCACTTTACAAATGGAGAAACTAAAATTTAGAAATGTATGTAATTTTCCAAATGACACAGCTATTGAGTGAAAAATACCAAATCAGACTTTCATGTATTCATTTACTTTTCAGTAAGCATGTATTGAGTACAACTTAGTATTAATATGTAATCCCACATTCCCTAGTGGTTGAAAACATCATCTTTAGATTTGGATGGTGTGTGATTCTAGGTAGGAAAAGGTACTGAACTACTCTGTGTCTCTGTTTCCCCATCTATAAACCAATGACAATAACACCACTTACGGCCAGGTGCAGTGGCTCACACCTGTAATCCCAGCACTTTGGAAGACCGAGGCAGGTGGATCACCTGAGGACAGGAGTTTGAGACTAGCCTGACCAACAGGAGAAGCCCTGTCTCTGCTAAAAATACAAAATTAGCTTGGCATGGTGGCGCATGCCTGTAATCTCAGCTACTCGGGAGGCTGAGGCAGGAGAATCGCTTGAACCTGGCAGGCGGAGGTTGCGGTGAGCCGAGATCATGCCATTGTGCTCCAGCCTGGGCACCAAGCGTGAAACCCCTTCTCAAAAATAAATAAATAAATAAATAAATAAATAAATAAATAAATAAATAAATAAATAATATCACTAACTTCACAGGGCTAATGTAAGAATTTCATGAGCAAATGTGTCAAAAGTACTTAATATAATACCTGGCTCATAAGAAACACTCAACAAATAGTAGCTCATGGGAAAGCCAACCAATAAATATAAGTCCAATAAGGGCTGTGGTCAATGCAAAATCAGGATGTCCCTGGTGGGCAAGAAGGGAGACATAAATCAACTTAGGGTATCCTATTTCAGAATGTGTGATCACTACGATAAGGTTTGAAAGAAGAGTGACAATTATCGTGTTGAACAAGGTTGGAAAGTAAGTCAAGTAAGCCAAGGGAGTAGGTATTCAAATCACTGAAGGCAAGAGAGCATGCCACTGAATTTAAATGGGTCAAGGCAAAGGAATGATGGCTAGCAGGCCAGTGTGACCAGATGAGGTTAGGAGTGATCAGGGGCCACCCAGGACTCTGTGTAGCCCCACTGTGTGTGTGTGTGTGTGCGCGTGTGTGTATGTGCATGTAAAAGCATTGTCCTTAGATAGTGGAACTTCTGGAGGTACTTAAGCAGACTGCCTTTTTGGGGAAGGACACCCTAGTTATAGTTTAGAAAATGAATCAGAGAAGGAGGACTAAGGCAGGGAGAAGACTACAGAAAGGGAGAGCACTTAAGAGGCTGCTGAAGGGGGCCAAGTGGGAACATGTAAGTCATCTCTTCTCTCAAGGCTTCCATTTCTTTTACTGACATGTGAGGGTGACAGTCCTTGTCTTGCCTACTTCAGAGCACTGGGGTTAAAAAAAAAAAAAAACTAAAAAATAGCTACTTAGAATAGGAGTTAGCAAACTCTTCTGTAAAAGGACAGATAGTAAATATTTTCAGCTTTGCAGGCCTTATGGTCTCTGTCACAACTACTAAAGTTTGTCATTGTAGCTCCAAAGCAACCATACGTATAAGAATATGTATAAGAATGAGTGCAGCTGTGTTCCAATAAAACTTTGTTTATGGACACTGAAATTTGCATTTTATATAATTTCCATGTGTCACAAAATATTACTCCTCTTCCATTTTTTCCCAACCATTAGGAAAATGTAAAAAGCATTTATAGCTCATGGCTGCACAGAAAACAGGGAGTGGGGGCCCAGATTTGGCCCACAGGTCATAGTTTGCTGACCCCTGACTTAGATTGTGCTTTTAAAATATCAAAACTTTTCATTTTTTTAAAGGGAGAAGTATTATGATAACTATTTACTGGTGGTTAAATTTTATAGTATTTCATGGCTGTTGATCAAGTTTGCCATCTGTGTTATTTTTGAAATTATGTATTTTCTGTTTATCAGTTGGTCTGGAATACTCTACTCTCTCAATTTTGCATAAGAACTTTCTGCAGTTTTGTTGACGGACCACTGAAGAAAGCTGCAGTCTCTGGACAAGCCTAAAACACCTTTCAACCTTTTGTATGATTTTCTTTAGAGAGGTGAGGGGTGGATTTGAAAGGACAGGAACATTAAAGCCAGACAAACCAGGGTTTGAATACAACCTCTACCAGTTTGCGACCTTGAACAAGTTTTACAGATTCTATGATTCAACATTTCTTCATTCATTCATTCATTTATTCAACAGATATTCACTGAGTACCTACTATGTGTCAGGCACAATGCAAGTCCACATGAGTACACTCGTAAATGGAACACCATGTCTGCTTTCAGGGAGACTACAGATTTAAGAGAAGGCATCCACTTCTAATACAGCGATGTTATTGCAATAAGAAGGGAAGATGAGGGTGCTATGGGAAGACAAGAAGGGGCATGCGTCCCAGAGTCACTGACATACTAAAAAAAGACTCCCTAGAGGTAACGGGTTCTAAACTGACACCTAATGGATGAGCAGTTGTCAGCCAGGTGAAGAAGCAGGAGGGAGTATATCCCATGCAAAGTGACTCACCTAAGGAAGGCTTACATACAAGAAGGTGGGGGAAGGGGAGCTGTTGATAATGGAAAGTTGTTTATTGTGCTTGGGACAGGGTGGGCAGTGGTAGTGGAGAGACACAAGACCAGAGAGGTGGGCAGGAGATTCATCATGGAGGGCCTGTGAGCTGGGTGAAGTGGTTTGAAGTTTACCTTGCGGACAACGAGGCAGCACTGATGTATTTCAACTGAAGGATGGAGACTAAGACTGAAGGGGAACAAGACCAGAGGCAGAGAGACCAGATGGGAGGCTGCTTAAATAATCCATGTGAAACACAAGGCTGGCTTGAACAAAGTGAGAATGAAATTAAAGAGAAGGAAGCAGCTTCAAGAGCTTTTCTGGGGGAGAATTAATAAAGCATTGTGATTGATTATAAGAGGGACATCAGAAAAAAGGAGGGCTCCCATATGTCCAGACTGAGAAGCTGCGTGGATGGTGGCACCATTTATGCAGAAAGGGAAGTCTAACGGATAAGTAGTTTCGGTGGAAAAATGACAGATTTATTTATAATCATACTGACCTTTCTGGGTTATTCTAAGTCTTAGAAACATTATATGTGAGGCACCCAGAAAAGTACCTGGCATGTCGTGGGTGCTTGATAAGTGATGCCTCTTACTTTTGTTTCATTTTTTAAAAATCTATTTCAGGCCCTGTTTTGTTAAATCATGATGTTCTTTTGCTATTTAGTGTGAGCTCTTCAGAGCCACAAGAATTGCTGTTTTGTTCACCGTGCCGCACGTTTTCATGTGTGTTTCTTTCTCTCCTTCTCTTCTGCATGCTGCCTGGGGACTGGCTTCCTTGTGGTCAGCACCAATGGGCAGCGCCCAGGTGACCCCGGGGACTCCACTCTGCCTCCTCACCACAGGTGATCACCAGAGCCCTGGGCGGGTGGGAGGGGAGAGTTGCCCATGCTTAGTGGGTCCTCCAGGCCAGGTGCACCAGAGAGGAACCAGCAGTCCCTCCACCCCACCCACCCACTCACCCCTCCACCCATTCACCCATCAACCCACACATTCATTCATTCATCCACCCATCCATCCATCCCTCTATGCATACACTCATCTGTCCACTCACCTATTCATTCATTCTACTAATGCTTACTAAGTACCTCCTGGGTGCCAGGCACTGTTCTAGGCACTGAGATGTACAATGAAGAGCAAAAGAAGATATGTTCCAATGCCTTTCCAGGAGACGAAACAGCCATTGGTCAAAAACCTACACAAATAAATTTGCCACTTTGAGTGGTGTTACAAAGGAAAGGTACATGGTGTTCAAAATAAACAAACTCATGTGCAGCCAAGGGAGGGCTTCACAGGGGAAGTGACAGCTGAGCTGTGATATAAGTTTGGGAAAAAGTTGACGTAACAATTCTGTGCCTAGGAAATGAGAAGCTCTCACTATGATCTCAGGTCTACCATTTGTCCTGACAATTTACCCATACCATATCAGCCTGACTTTTCCTATCTGTTAAATAGGAATAATCCCACCTACCCCTTATGAGGCACCATTTACATTGTAGACCGTACACATGCAGAGGCCTCTGAGACTAAACAAGATAATAAATGTCAAAGGAGCTGCTATGGGTATGCCTAGTCCAGAGTCTATATTTGTTTGAAGTAAATACCAGCCCCTTTCCTCAAGTACACCGTAGGTGGAACTCATTTCACATGAATGTGTGCCATTCTTCAAAGGACGCAGAGCCACTCATGTGAGAGGTCGACATCCATCGTGGGACTCAAAAGACAAGCCAACCTAGAGACCTCTTTATTGCAGGGTGCCTTTTTAATCCGTGGGAAGTTTCTTGGAGATTTCAAACCTTTAACTGTCACCTCTCTTAAAGTCCTTGCCCAGACAATGGCCTCCGGTCTGCTAATGCCTGAATGGTCGTTTTATCATGGTGGAAAAGAAGATGCAGCAGGCAGTGATGACATGAGTCTGGGCATCCAGTACCTTCACAGTTCACTCCTGTCCACCCCCTTTCCCAAACTCAGAGACATCACTGCTAGTGAGTGTCTTAGGTTGAGTTCCCTGGACACTGAGACTGAGATGGAGATTCTTGTGCAAATTATTCATTGCAGAATGTTCTCAGAAGAAAGGGAGGAGGATGGGATATGGCAGAGAACAAAGCTAAGGGAGGATGTGGAGGCCTGCATCTGCCTGAGCCCCGGGAAAAGGCGAGGTATGGAGCAGGAAACGTACTAAAGAGTTGGTCCCACCTTGAGGCAAGGGGGCCAATATTTGCACCATGGTGTTGGTCAGCCACTGGCTGTGGGCTGCCATGGGAATGCATTACATCCTGGGGAAGTGGTTCCCTTTTGCCTAATGGTACTTCTCTAGGAAGGGAGGTATTTGTGAGCCATTTGCTGCCAGCACCCACAGCACCTGGAGAGTAGTCACACCAGCCCAGTAAAGGAGATTGGGGCTGAGCCTAAACAGTGTCCACTATGGGCGAGTTTTGTCTCTGCCTTTGTACTGCCATGGACACCTGTACTCCAGTGTGTCACTGCAAACATTACAGGAATTTCATCTCAGCCACTCCCTGTTAGATTACCTTAAGCAAGTTGCATAGCCTTATTTCACTTGCAAAACTAATTATCATATGTGCTTCATGCAGTTATATTAAAAATTCCATTAGAAAATGCTAGGAATGTTGTGTGCGGTCACTGTACATAGTAGGTCTTTACTGAAATCAGTCCCCAGCCCTCCCTTATCAGAGGCCCTTCCCAAAGGGAGGTGGGAGTTACAGATGGACACGTGGGAGTGTGCAGATCGACAGCGGGAGAAAAGTGACTCTCGCCACTGTGCACACCACCTATTTACAGAGAAACAATACTTCTCCAGAGTGTGTGCAAGTTGCTCTGTTTCTGCTGGGCTATTGTTCTCTGGGCTCTATTCAAGTCGAGCAGTCAGATAATATTTTCTTTAAACAGAGCCAATCCCATATCATGTGCTTTTGTTCTTACCTCTTGTCTTCTAAGGCGTCTGGATGTTCCTTCCCTGACAGGTTTATTTCATTGTGATCCATTTATTTCCACATGTTTCTCAGCCTCATTTGATGGGTGAGGTGCCTGTGAGTGCCATCCCTTTCAAAGGGTGTTTTTGTTAATGTCCCCTGGTAGCAATAATGGCTGATGTAAATAATAACTGCCTAGGTCTGAATGATGGGGATATTAGACTTTAAGCACAGGCAGCCTCTTTTCATATCAACACCAACTCAGAGAGCTGCAGGACCACATTATGTAGCAGGGATAGGCTGGCATTCAGAGTAAAGGGAGGCTGAGTTCAGCTCTCAGCAATGCCACCTTCTGGTCTGGTGATCCTGGATAAGTTATTTTTCTTTTCCAGACTTCATTATCTTTATTTGGAGAAATTGAAATATTAATAACCACAGTCATAGTTAATCATGAGAACTAAGTGCAGTAAGAGCTTTAACTTCTTTGCCCATCTAGCTCCAATTAGTTCTTCAGCTCTTCTGGATTTATTGGCTTATCCTTCAAGGAATTCATGCTCTATGGCAAGATTGCGTAACCCCAGCACCACTGATGTCTGGGGCCGGATAGTTCTTTGTTGGGGGCAGGGTTGGGGGTGCTGTCCTGTGCACTGTAGGATGCTTAGCGGCATCCCTGTCTCTCCCCATTAGATGCCAGCAGCATGTCAGCCCCTATTGTAACAACCAAATACATCTCCAGACATTCCCAAATGTGCCATGGAGACAAAAATCATCCTCCGTTATAAACCTCCAGAGCCATACTGTTTAATAGAAATAGAATTTGAATATTGTATGTAATTTTAAATTTCTTAGTTACTTAAGAAAAGTAAAAAGAAACAGGTGAAGTTAATTTTAATAATATAATGTATTTAACTCAATACGGATCCTCCTCAACTTATGATGGAGTTATGTCCCAATAAATGTATCATAAGTTGGAAATGTTGTAAGTTGAAAATGCGTTTAATACAATTAACCTGCGGAACATCATAGCCTAACCTAACCTACTTTAAATGTGCCATGTTCAAAACACTTACATTAGCCTAAAGTCGGGCGAAATCATCTCACACAAAGCCTATTTTATATTAAAGTATTGAGTAGCTCATGTAATTTATGGAATACTGTACTGAAAGTGAAAAGCAGAATGTTTGCACCAGTGCTTAAAGTACAGTCTCTACTGAATAGGTATCACTTTCTCAGCAGCATTGTAAAGTCCAAGAATCTTAAGCCCGCCTATCTTAAGTTCACAATCATCTGGTATATCCAAAATATTATTATTATAATATGCAACAGAATTAAAGAAAACAACAGATGAAAGCTATTTTACATTCTTGTTTTGTACTACGTCTTTAACATTTGGTGCATATTTTACACACAGAACACTTCAATAAAATAAATTTTAAAATTCAGTTCCTCAGTTGCACCAGACACTTTTCAAGTGCTCTAAGTACGTGTCTTCGTGACTACCATTGTGGGCAGCGCAGATCTAGAGATAACACATCTAGGGTCATCTTTGTCCCTAGTTGCTGAATAGAAATGTATGTGTAGAGAAGAGGTTCATATTCAGTTACTTTTATTCCTTGTTGCTCTCTGGGGCTAGGGGATGTTTGGCAAAATCTGGAGATTTATTTGGTTGTCACAACTTGGTGCGAGGGGCTATAGTCACCTAGTGGGTAGAGGTCAGGGATGCTTCCATTGAGAGAAATAAGATAAAATCCTCTTTGGCCAGGATTGGGCATTTTTCTGCAGTGAGTTGACTGGAGGCTGCAGTAGAGAAGTGACCAGTTAATTAACATTAAGAGGACTCAGTCTTCCCCAGGCCCACAAGTGCAGAAAGAAGGCCTCTTCTCATATCCCTCCTGCAGTTCAGCCAGGCCTCAAGGGGGTGGCCTGGACCTCTGAGTCCAAGAGGAGACTGACAGTGTTCAGTCTAGAGGCCACAGTAGCTGTACTACAGGTCATCCTCAGGGGCAGATCTGACTTCATTGTCTTGGCCATGCCCAGTGCCCATTGTCAATTTTCTACAGAGAGAAGGGCTAAGGGACAAGCCCTCATCTGGAGCCCAAACTCCATTCCTTAAAACTGAGGGAACTTGGCCGGGCGCGGTGGCTCACGCCTGTAATCCCAGCACTTTGGGAGGCCGAGGCGGGCGGATCACAAGGTCAGGAGATCGAGACCATCCTGGCTAACACAGCAAAACCCCGTCTCTACCAAAAATACAAAAAATTAGCCGGTGTGGTGGCAGGCGCCTGTATTCCCAGCTACTTGGGAGGCTGAGGCAGGAGAATGGCGTGAACCCGGGAGGCGGAGCTTGCAGTGAGCCGAGATCGCGCCACCGCACTCTAGCCTGGGTGACAGAGCAAGATTCCATCTCAGAAAGAAAGAAAAAAAAACTGAAGGACCTTGAGCCAATTACTCAGCCTTTCACCTTTCTGAGCCTCACCTTCTTCATTTATGAAATAGTAAAGTTGAGTCCCTGTACAGCCAGGCCCAATCATGGTGAGGGCCAACAGAAGAAATGGATGCACTCCTAACCCAGCTCCAGGTTTGAGCAGGTATTGGATACAACTTCCCTTATTATTCCTTTATTTCCTGTGCACCTCATGTTAAAACTCTCTCTTATTATTTCCCTGGAAATTCTTTAAATCAGGGCCTTGGCACAGTGACAGGATTCAGGTCATCATACACTCTCTGGGAGTGCTTCGCAACTGCCCTTAAAGCAACTTTCCCAGGGATGGCTCCACTTGGACCCAGGTAGAAGGAGTTTGAGCCTTTGGGACAAAGCTGTTCAGGCCAAGAGAAGATGATGAAGCAAGGCAGCAGTCTCCCTAGGGTCATGCCCTAGGCCCTGTGAGCTTGGACACCCTGAGGCCTCGGTG